TATTATTATTATTTATTATTATTATTTATTATTATTATTATTATTATTATTATTATTATTATTATTATTATTATTATGAATACAATGGAAAATTATCCTCAATTTTTATTCGCGTACTGTATAATTTTATTATCTGTGATACCTCTATTTATTTATTTTTCATTTACTATTTACTTATTTTAGTCTTGTTACGAAATATCCTATTCTTTCATCAATTGGTAGTTATAATCGCATCTGGTTAATATCACGTGTCTCGATAATAATTCAAATTTATTTATTGATGATAATAATAATAATAAAAAGGTCGCTTATCCTACGCTTGGGGCTATCAAACGGGCGATCCATCCAAAAGACGTAGAGGGGCATTTAGTTATATTGGTATTTTCATATTAGGTGGTATTTCTATTGCTTCGGCCGTTAGTTTGTTAACTTAATTTTCGAATAAATATTCGATAATTACATAATAGAATTATTATATTAAATTTTTGGTTTTTACATCATTAACCTTTAATTAACCTTTAATAATAATAAGAATAATAATAAGAAAAATAAAAAAAAATAATATAAAAAATTGTCAAAATTGGTAAATTATTTAAATTATTGAAAATCGGTGAAAATTGTTGGCTGAACTTTTTTTTCATTGTTATCGCAATCAACTCTATAAATGCGAGCACTATATACACCCTCTCTAAATGCACACTCTAGATTGGTCCCGGATGTGCACTTAGAGAGAGTTGACTGCAAAATGCCAATCGTTAAAAGCATTATTCACGAATTTCGACAATGACTCCTTAAATACGAAATAAATATTTTTTTTTAAAAAAAAAATAATAAATGAGAAATCAATAAAGAAATAATAATTAAATAATTAATAAAGAAAACAATAATTAATAATTAACATAAGAATGAACATTATATCATACCAGTTCCCACCGTTTTTCCTCCTTCTCGTATAGTAAATCTCATTCCAGGTTCAACTGCCATATCTTTAATAAGTTCACATTCCATTGTAGTATTATCACCTGGCATAACAAACTTTTCATCAGGATTTTCAGTATTTGCGGGATGGGTTAAAGTAACTGTTACATCCGAAGTTCGAAAATACATTTGGGGTCGATAATTTTGCATAAATGGTGTATGCCTTCCTCCTTCTTCTTTAGATAAAACATAAATTTGAGCGGAAAATTTTTTGTGAGATTTAACTGTGCCAGGTGCTGCAAGTACTTGCCCTCTTCGAATTTGTTCACGTTTAATTCCACGTAATAATGCTCCCATATTATCACCAGCCATTCCTTTATCAAGTTCTTTATGAAACATTTCTATTCCCGTTAATGTCGTTCTAATGGGAGGTCCCATACCAACAATTTCTATTTCTGCTCCTTTAGTAATAGTACCTCTTTCCACTCTACCTGTAGCAACAGTTCCACGACCAGAAATTGAAAATACATCTAAAATAATACGTATATATATATATATATATATATATATTATTACTATAATAAATTTTTAATATCATATCTAATATATCCCACCAAATATTATAAATACCTTCAACAGACATCAAAAAAGGTTTATCTAAATCTCTTTTAGGTGTTGGAATATAACTATCAACTGCATCCATTAATTTTTCTACAGCTTTTTCTCCCATATCTGGATCACGACCTTCTAAAGCGGCCAATGCTGAACCCATAATTATAGGAGTATTTTCTCCGTCAAATCCATAATGTGATAATAAATCACGCATCTCCATTTCAACTAATTCTAACATTTCTTGATCATCAATTGCATCAATTTTATTAACAAAAACCACCAAATTTTTTACTCCAACTTGTCGAGCTAAAAGTAGATGTTCACGCGTTTGAGGCATTTGTCCATCGGTTGCCGAAACAACAATAATGGCTCCGTCCATCTAATAAATATAATAAATATAATAAATATAATAAACATAATATAATATAATATAATAAATAATAATAATAATAATAATAATAATAATATAATATATATATAAATATAAATATCGAAATCAATTTTACCTGAGCAGCTCCCGTAATCATATTCTTAATATAATCCGCATGTCCAGGACAATCAACGTGTGCATAATGTCTATTTGTGGTTTCATATTCAACGTGAGCAGTAGCAATCGTGATACCTCTCGCTCTCTCTTCAGGTGCTCTATCAATTTCACTATAAGCTTTAAATTTTGCTTGTCCCTTGACTTCCAAACATTTAGTAATAGCAGCAGTTAAGGTTGTTTTTCCATGATCCACATGTCCAATCGTACCGATATTAACGTGGGGTTTTCCTCGTTTAAATTTTTGTACTTCCGTGGCATAAAACCTTGTAACTAAAAACATTTTAATTTAACATTAATAATAATTGTATATATTTATTTGTACATTTCTGATTTCTTTTTTTTTTGATGAACCAAATGAGAAATCATTTTTAAATTGATTATCGCTTTAAATGATACTTGAATGAATGCTTCGAATGCTTGAATGTTTAAATACTTGATGATATTTGTTTGATTTATATATATATAATTTAAATTTCGTTTGGTAGTTATTCCCCACCCCAGATAATGTGTTGTATAAAAAGAAATATATTCTTTTTTTTTGTTTGGTTGTAATAATCCAACTTGAATTGCGATCCCAAATTCTTTCCTAGACCACCAAAGGTTTGAAAATTTTATTTTCACAAAGTCACGTAAATTCGATGTTAATTAATTAATTTAAAGAAATACCGTTAATGGTAATTATTTTAAAAAAAAATAATAATAATTATCATTATAATTATAATTATTTAAACAAATTTAAAATATATCTTTAAATTTAAATTTCTTTAAATTCTGTGACATAAAACCTTGCAACTAAAAACATTAATTAACATTAATAATAATAATTGTATATTATTGTAAAAAAATGATTTCTCATTTGGTTCACCAAAAAAGAAATATAATAAAATTAACAATTTGTTTCCTACCTACCCGAATGGTTCTGTTGAAGAAATTATGACTTGATAATGGTAATTCTTATTATTATTAATAAAATAAAATAATAATCAAGATTTTTTTCTCAGAAATTTTCAAACCCATTATTATTATTATTATTATTATTATTTAACTTACTAGGGTTAGCCAAACTATTTAAATATCTTTTTGAAGTCTGGGCGGTAATAGACTTTATGCATGGTTGCAACAGGAAGTTAACATTTTTTAATGTTTTTAATGACCAAGACATCGTCGCAAAGTAGTAGTTGTAGTATAGTGTGTAAGAGGCTTATCAAAAAAATAAAAAAAAATAAAAATAATCAAGATTAAGAAAAAAAAAAGAAAAAAATTTTTTTTTTTTTTGATCAGTTTTGTAATAAAGTACATACAAAATATAATGATCTACAATCTTTCTTATAATTAACAAGTTTACTTTCTAGTTTAGTCAACCTTACACAAAATTTTAATCTTGCGTTTGAATTCTTTATTTATTTTTCTTTTAGTATAATAAATTTGTTCAAATATTTTTACATTTTCAAAATGTACTATCTAATCAGGATCTCCCGACATTTCATATACAGGGGTTATTCTACATCTGCACCCTTGAATTATACTTTGATGAAAAAATATATATATGTATGTACTGAGAAATATAAAACAAAAAAAAACAAATAAAAATGAAATGGACTAAATACAAAAAAAAAAAAAAAAAAAACTTTTGATGAACTAAAAAAAAAAAGAAAAGAAATTGTGTAAATATTAAAGTATCGGTATAGTATACACGTGATTTCTCACATAACATACAAAAATATTTTGTATGGTAAGGAATATATTATCATGGTAAAGAATATATATGTATGTATAAAAATTAAACATTCTATCTCACTAAACCCCAACCCATGATGATTAAAAATAAAAATAATAAAAAATTTAAATTTATAATATTTATAATAACAAATGGAAAGAAAGAAGAAAGTTCTAGGACCTGCTAGTCAATCTATATAACAAATGAATGAATTGAATGAATGAATGAATGAATGAATGAATGAATGGGAACTTTTTTACCTAGATAAAATGTAAATTATAAAATAAAAATAAAATTGGGAAGGGGTATATTTTTATATTTTATCTTTCTTTTCTGTTGTTTCTTCGTTAAGATGATCAGGTGAGTTTCCATTTTCATCATTTTCAACATTTGGATCATCATTTGGTGGTGGTGGTGTAATCTTTATAGAAGACGTATCAGGCAAATTAGGAATATTGGAATTATTATTATCATCATTCCCTCCCCAAAAGATCATAATTTCCCCGTCTCCTTCATCAGAAAACATAGTACTTCTACCATTTGTACTAGTTGAACTCATTACACTTTCTCTTTGTAATTGTGGTGGTGAAATAGTAACTTCATCACTGCCAAATAATCCAAATGATTGTCGTCCTTCTATTGGATCCATGGAATTAAGATGTTGTGATGGTGATGGTGGTGAATTAGGTGACGATAATGATAGTGGTGATAATTGTGATAATTGTTGTTGTTGTTTTGGAGATGATGGAGATTCTTGTGGTGATGCTTTTTGTTGATTTATTGAATGAGATAACTCCCCTGATGGCCTTTCAATATCTATACGAGGTATTAATTCATTTACTTTATTATCGCTTCCAGTAATTATCTTATCCGATAAAGATGATACTGATGGCATATTTTTTAAGGATTTATTTGTTAATGGAGTATTTAATGGAGGTGTGTTTAATGGAGGTGTGTTTAATGGGGGTGTATTTAATGGAGTATTTATTGAACTGGTAGAAGAATCTTTCGAATCTAAATTATTATTATTTTTGCTATTACTATTACTACTACTAATACTATTACCATCACTATTATTATTACTATTATTTTTATCTTTATTAAGTGATTTAAGTGTGTTAATACGAACAAGTGATGGTTTGACTCGAGTTGCTGTTACTAAAGTAGCTGTAGCAGCCGCTGTTGTTACTGGTGTTGATTTAGTTGCATGTAAAATTGTACCTGTAGTATCTTCATCTAAATCTATTAAAGAATAATTTTTTGGTAAAGGACTACCAAGTGGCGAAGTTCCTCCACTAGAATATGAATAACGCGTAGTGGGTGGTATATAAGCGATTGGAATAACGTTCTCAGAATCTACCGATGTCATTTCTTTAAGTTTCATTCCTCTCTTTCCTCGATTAATTCGTCGATACCAGAAATAACCACATCCAATAGCTATTAAAATTATTCCTCCCACTACACCCCCTATAATTCCCGGTAATAATTTATTATCATTATTTTTATTGTTTTGAGTAAGGTCAGTGGGTTGTAATTTATCATTATCCTCACATATCGCCTGTGGACATTGATGACATGTTCTCAGAGTGAAAACACATCTTTGATTTGCTGCACATGAAGGACATTTTGGATTGTCTGGGCATGATATAATACAATCTGAACTCGGTGACGGTGATGATGGTAATGATGATGATGATGATGATGATGATGATAATGATGAAGAAGTTGATCTGGAAATCGATGAAGATGAAGATAGAGATGCGGATTTTGATTTTTCTAATTTTATATTATAATTATTTGATAATTTAATTTTGTTGAATATATGTAAATATGTAAAAAATATATTAGAATATGTTAAAAAATGTGAATATAATAAACAATGAAAAATTAGAAATATTCTTTTTTTTTTTTTTTTTACCTTGAGCCTTTACTGGATTAATACATATTGTAGCTATTACTACATACAGTATACTAAATAATATCCATAGTTTTATTTTAGTTAATTTGGACATATTCTTCTTCTGGAAGAAGAATATTGATTATAAATAATTGCTAAGATTGTCAAAAAGAAAATAAAGGAGAGTAAAGGATGGTTTCTTGATGAGTTTTCACCAAAATTTGAATAATAATAATTCTAAGAATCTAGAATAAAAGTCCTTCACTGAATATAAATAAATAGGAAATCTTACGTATATTATAGAAGATATTGAATATTAAATATATAGAAGAAACGAAAAGGACTTGTTTAAAAAAAATGCTTATTAATATAAAAAAAAAGGTCCTCTTGACAACAACAACAGACTTCCCTCAATTGTTTCACCACTTAATAAGTAGATCAAATCTATTATTATAGTTGAAACAAATCCACCACTTACTTTTTGAATTTTAAATTTTTTTGTGTTTCGTACGACAACAATGGTTTTCCACTTTTAGATAAAACGTTAATTTAGATACTAAATATATTTTACCTGTCATACGTTTTATAACGTTATATGAGGATCATCATCATTTCAAAATTAAAACGATGATTTATTTGTTTTATTTCGAAAACCATCTTTAGACACCATTGGAACAATGGAACATTCAAATCTAATATAATGTCAAAGCTCTGAAAACGGAATGATCACTTCAACTTTAAATAACCATCTGTTTCGCAGTGAGTCAAAAGTCTCCGTGATTTGCACATTCCTCCCACCAGAGTAAGTTCTCAATAGGTAATGATTTGAGAAGTCTTATGAAATAAAGGTGTTAATGTACTCACTTGTGATTCTGAACTAATAGGGAGTTTCATCGTGGATATGTTGGTTAGTGTCAAAACCATCTTTTATAGAAAGTTCGCTTTGTGCATTAATAACGATTTGATCTTGCTTTATCCCTTTAATATAACATTTTAATTTGGTAATGACTCCGCCTTTTCTTTATCTCTCTGCTCGTTTTATGAGCCTAAGCCTTGAACTCATAATTGTCTTCCATAGCTTGTTTTAATTCTATTTTCTCGGCTTCAAGCTCGCATTTACTCGACTCTATCAGAGTTACACAAAAAATTCCCGATTAAAAATGTGCGTTAAATAATTCTTGTAAAAGTTTTGTTAATGTAAATTCAAATTGACTTATTTTGCTAACTAAAAATTTAAACGAAAAATGTCATTTCATTTCTTTATTTTAGATCAACAAATAATTTTTTGCTTTTCAGTATTTTCTTTTAGCAAAATCGTTATTAATAAATATTTGAAAAAGAATTATACAAGGTTTTATTATACTCCCAAAAAATTTCAAGCACATTATTTTATTAATATGTAAACTTTATTATACATAATTATTAACAAATAACCATTCGGGTTGGATTATTTGTATTTAAACTTCTACGTTATCTACATTATGTGAGATCGCCCACAGCAAAAAGAAGTTTCCGGTTTTAAATTACGTAACGAAAATTTACAATTTTTATAATGAGAGATAAATTTTTTAATTTGAAATAATTGTAATACTTTTAATATTTTATTTTATATTCAAAAAATATGAAAACTTAGATAACTTTATTATTATAATCTATTTGTTTAAAAAAAATATATATAAATTAGATAAGCTAATAAATTTTCCCAAAGAGACTTTGTAACACAACTGTACTTTTATAACATAATAATAATTCTGAAGGCTTCTTTAGATTTTTGATACTTAACATTTCCATATTTTTCAACATATGTTACTTCAGGTTCAAAGAAAGTATTTTACAAAGACTCAAAGAATATTGTGACCTTTCTCATTGATTAAACATGAAAAGTATGTCTCAAGTGATTTTACCAATCCAGATTAAGAATCAACTAACAACATTTTATAGATGACCCTAATGTGCGGGGATGTCTTCTTTGGCAAAGAAAAAGTACAAATGAAGTCACCTGCAGTATTCTGTTTTCAACTTGTCTTAATAATAGGAAAACGTGACGAAAAGGATTTGCAAAAGTGCACAACGCATTTAGATCGTATCTTTTTTTATTCCGACTTATTTTTTTTCTTTGTTTGTATCCTTTCATAGATCAAAGTTGACTAAAATAAAATATTTTTAAACCTGATTCACTTTTATCTCCAATAAAGATTAAACTTTCCAGTAAATTACGCGAACATATAATTTTCAATCTGGTCAAAAAGATTTTTAAAGAAGATAGAAGAGATGAAATGACGAAATTGATATGGAGAGACTTTAAAGTTGTATTTATTTTTAAAAAAATGGCTGTTGATAGGTTATTGTTACTACACACTAGTGAGCCATAAAGATTACTGAGAGTCAGTAGTATTTCAACAGTTCACTGAACCGAGAGTTAATTGCTATTTTCTCAACAATACTTTTTAGTCTTTAATATATTTATTAAAATAGTTGAATAATTTTTATTCCAAGGATAAAAAAGATTTCTGGAAGGGAATGCTTTTGAAAATAATCAAGAAAATGAAGAGCCTTCAGATGCAAATACATTTGGGCTCAGAAAAAAAAATGTAAGTATATTTTATTAGTTATCAAAAAACCTTTGTGATGTCACCTGAGCAGCTATATATATATTTTGGTTTGTTTTTTTGTTTTTTGTTTTTTTATTTAATTCTTTGTCAGTGGAAGTGAGACTGTTGGCGTGAGGGGACTTTTGCTGATACCTGAGTTAGTTAGTTAAATAACAATGAGAACAGTTCACTTAACATACAAGTAATTTAGTGAAAGGTTATATTTGTGATTTCAAATGTAACACTTGTTCATTTTTTGCTGGTGGGAATTGAACATTTGAAAAAACATCTAGCACAAATAAATCTAGTAACTGGTTATTTTTTGTACACAAAAGAAGTTTCTTTGATTAAGGTCTACCAATTCTCAAGAAAGGATTCATTATATCCCTTCCTTTTTTCTTATTCTTTAAATGGTAAATTATATGAATTGCTTGTGTAGTAACTTGATTTGTGATGTCACTATCATTTATAGAATAAAGAAACTTGTGTTATTTGTTATACTATTAAAATATTTTTACTTAATGAGAGAAACAATAACTATATTTATATATAGGAGAATCAATAATCACAAGAAAAAAATAATAAAAAAATAAAAATTTAATATGTTTTAATTAATTTACTTGATATGTGAAATTGTTTAAATTTATTTTCACTGGTCAAAATCTGGCATATCAGGTACCTATTGAATACTTATTATGGTGTCCGATAGGTACCCGATATATATTTTTTGACATATATCAAGTACCCGATAAGTGTCATCTTATTCCCTAATATTGGATACTTATTGAGGACTTATCAGTCACATATACTATACATATCGAACACCTATTTTTCAATTATTTTTTTTATATCAATCAGGTACCCGATTTTTTTATTCAATATAAGGGACCTATTAGTGATATATTCTTCCCTCTGATAGGTGTCTGATATTTTTTTATTACACCTATCGGTCCTCCGATACTTTTATTTATTATTTCTATCAGATACCTGATAAGTATAGTAGTCATTTTGTATTTGAATACTTTTTTCAAATAAATTATACAAATTAATAGCTTTATTTATTACTGCACAAATTTTATACAATTTTATATAATATATATATAATATACCTGATAACCATTTATTTTTATTAATATAATTATTATTGCATATAATAAATGTATGAAATTTAAAATGTTCTAAAAATATACTATTATAATAAAAATATAGAAAATTTAAAATATTCAAATGTCCTAAAAATATATTATTATTATTACCATTATTATTATTACTATTATTAAATATTCATTATAAAATTGTTCATTTTCTTCAGCTTTTTTTATTTTTTTCTTTTTATTTGATGTTTTGTAAGCATGTTTTCTTTTATTTTTGATAATGATAATGATGATATTCGGTTTCATTTTTTTTTTCCTTTATCAATCACAATTAAGTTATAATTATTATTATCTTCTTCTTCCTCTTCTTCTTCTTCCTCTTCTTCAGTATCTTGATTATATATTTTATTTTACTTTTATCTCTATTTTCAGATATTAATGCCTCTTCATTAAGTGTCCATAAGGAACCCTTTTAAGAGGATTTATCTCTCGATAGATCTTTGATACAACATTTCTAATTCTTGATTTATTTTGTTTCTTATAGATCCAAGTTACGACCAGATCAATTTGTTCATGTAATAATTTTAATAACTAAAAAAAATATATATATTAATAACATGCCCAATAGGTATAAAAAAATATTATTATTATTTTACTTACAGTATCTAATCTCCACCATTTTTTATACATATATATGAAAGTTTTCTTTATAATAAAGGTAGCATTATCATTATTATTATAGTCGTTATTATTGTTCAGAACATAGTTATTATTATTGTTATTATTATTATTATTATTACTATTATTATTATTTTCATTATTATTTTCATCATTATCATAGTCATAATCATCATCATTATTACTATCATAATCACTATCTATAATTGTTGGTCTTGCTTCTGATAATGATGATGATAATATTGTTCTTGCTATTGCTGATAATGATAATGATATTATTGTTGTTGTTGTTGTCGTTAATTTTAATATTATAAATATTGTAATATTTTTTTTATTTTCATTATTAATTAAAATTAATAAATAAATTTAAATAATAAAAATATTAACTTATCTTGTCATCTGTTTCTTCTCATTCTTCTGAATGATACCTGATATTATTCAAAATCTTTTCAAGATCTTTCTTCAGATATCTTTTATATACTTGTCCTTATCCTTTCTCGTAAAATCAACAGCCCATTTTCTTTTTTTCTTTTTCTGTTAAAATATAAATATATATTTATCATATCTGATATATGTGTTAATTTATAAATTAAAA